AAGTTTAAAAACAGTTTGTAAAAATTAAGCTTATCCACTAGTAAATTAACGTAACAAAACTTAACGCTCTTTACATCCAGACCTGATAATGTAGTATTTAATGTCTAGCATAAAATTCAAAAATTACTAGATATGTGAAGAGGCATGACCACAATAGATTTTTTTAAGTCAATAGAAACATACTCAGAGATAGCAGATATGTTAAAATTAGCAAACAAAGGCTTTAAAACAACTCTCATAAATATGTTTAAAATTTTAAAGAAAATATGGACTCCAATAAATAGAAATTCTCACTAGAAAAGTGGAAATTATAAAAAAAAAACCAGCTAGAAGTTCTAGAACTGAAAACATGTAATACCTAAAATGAGAAAAAAAAAATCACTAAATGAGCTTAACAGCAAAATAGATTCCATAGAAGAAAAAAAAAATAGTGACATTGAAGACATGGCAATATAAACGATATCAGCTGAAGCACATAGAGATAAAAGCACTGAAAAAAATGAACAGAGCCTCACTGACTTGTGGAATAGTATGAGGTGGCCTAACGTCTGTGAAACTGGAGTTCCAGAAAAAGATGAAAGAGAAATTGGGGAAGAAAATACATTTGAAGAAGTGATAGCTGAAAAAAATCCCAATTTGGTGAAAAATATTAACCCATAAAGTAAGAATCTGAATAAACACCCTGCAGGATAAAAAACAAAGAAAACCACTCCTGGGTACATTATAACCAAGTTTATGAAAGCAGAGGATCAAAGAAAAAAGTCTTAATAGCAGTACAAGGAAAAGACCCATTCTGCGCAAGACCCAGGGGAACAATAATGCTGATTTTTCAATAGGCCAAAAGACAATTGAATAACACCTTTAAGGTGCTAAAAGAAATAAAACCTGTCAACCTGGGATGAGAAACCTAGTGAAAGATAAAGATCCCTTAAAACATGAAAGAAAGGAAAAAAGAGAAAATGGAAAGGGAAGGGAAGAAGGGAGAGAGAAAGGAAAAGAGGAGGGAAGGAAGGAAGGAGAAAGCAAGCAAGAAAGAAAGAAGGAAGGAAGGAAAGAAAGAGAGAAAGAAAGAGAAAAGAAAAAGAAAGAATGAAAGAAAGAGAGAGAGAAAGAAAAAGAAAGAAAGAAAAAGAAAAGAAAAGAGAGAGAAAGAAAGGAGAAGGGGAAGAAGAAAAACACTGCCAAGCAAAAACCGAATGTATCAATAGTACACATATACTATAAGAAATATTAAAGGAAGTTCTTCAGGCTAAAGGAAATGATACCAGATAGAAACTCAGATCAACATAAAAAAAAGTCTAGTGCTAGAAGTGGTAAATATGTGGGTAAATAGAAATTACTTTTTTCCTTGCCTGTTATTGAATAAGTAAAACTTAATTATAAAGCTGAGTTTTTGGTAGACATTGCAGTAGTCTGGGAGTCAGGAAATCTGGGATCTGGTCCACTTCTGTAACCTTAGGTAAGTGGCTTAATCAATACTTGATATTCCTCTCTAATTGGTAACAATTCAAGAAGTTTCTTTTTTTTTTTTTTTTTTTTTTTTTTTTGAGATGGAGTCTCGCTCTGTTGCCCAGGCTGGAGTGCAGTGGCGTGATCTTGGCTCACTGCAACCTCCACCTCCTGGGTTCAAGCAATTCTTCTGCCTCGACCTCCCGAGTAGGTGGGATTACAGGCATGCACCGCCACACCCAGCTAATTTTTTTTTTTGTATTTTTAGTAGAGATGGAGTTTCAACATATTGGCCAGGCTGGTCTTGAACTCCTGACCTTGTGACCCGCCCACCTTGGACTCCCAAAGTGCTGGGATTATAGGCGTGAGCCACTGCAACTGGCCTCAATAAGTTTCTTTTTATCGTTGCTAAATACCTCGAAAGGGCTATCTAATTATTATTTCTTAAATTTAATGTATATATGAATTACCTAGGGATCTTGTTAAATTCAAGATATATTAATAAAGTTATTGTGGTATAGTAAAAACACAGACAAAGACAAGTAGATCAATGAAATTAAAAATATATATATATTCTTTTTTATCCCTTTTACTTCTAACTTATTGTTTATACTTATGCTTTATACATAAAGCATCTCTCTTATAAACTCTATAGCATTAGTTCTTGCTTTTTTATTCTGTTTGATAATCTCTGCCTGTTAATTGGAGTGTTTTGCTCACTTTACACTTAGTAAAATTTTTGATGTTGAGGTTACAGCTACTATTTTGCTATTTGTTTTCTTCCATCGATTTGTTTTGTTTTGTCTCTTTTTTGTTGTTGTTCCTTTGTTTCTCCTTTTCTTCCTTCTTTTGAATTTGTTGAGAATTTTTTTATTATTTTTATTTTTAGTTTATTTTATCTTATTTTGAGACAGGTCTCACTTTGTCGCCCAGGCTAGAAGGCAGTGGCGCGACCTCTGCTCACTGCAACCTTCACCTCTTGGGTTCAAGCAATTCTCCCACCTTAGCTTCCCAAGTAACTAGGACTACAGGCATGCACCACTACCTCTGGCTAATTTTTGCGTTTTTTGGTAGAGACAGAGTTTCACCACGTTGACCAGGCTAGTTTTGAACTCCTGACCTCAAGTGATCTGCCCACCTAGCCTCCCAAAGTGCTGGGATTATAGGCATAAGCCACCGCACTGGGCTTGAGAATTTTTTAATATTTTGTTTTATTTCCTCTATTGGATTGAAAACTATATGTTGTTGTTTTATTTTGGGTGATCTAGGGACTGAAATATGCATCCTGAGCTTAGCAGAATCTACTATGATTTCACATCACTAAATGTGTAGTATAAAAAACCTACAAAGCAAATTTTCTGTTTTCCAATATATTCTTTGCACTGTTGTCATACTTCTACATAAGTTAAGAACTCTATGGTAAGTTTTATTATTTTTGCTTTAAATAATCAATTGTCTTTAAAAGAAATGAAATAAAGGTTGACATTAGAGCAATTCTAGAAAACTTCCTAGGTTTACTCTGATTACTGTATTTTCCAAATGTCCTATGTGAAGTCTTTTACAGGCCCTACCTGTTGGGTTGGATGAAGCAATCCTTGAGGGAAGTCATCGCTATAGTCCTCCTGTTGGCTATCCCTCAGAATCTCTTCAAAATTCACCCTGGAGAAGGAGAAGAGAAAGTTGCTTCGAGAGGAAGGGAAATACTGGCAAGGGGATGGGGAGAATGAAATCACTTTAAGATTGTATTTTAAAGGCTCGTTAAGCTTCACTTTTAATGCAGTATAATTTGAAGAGATATATTTTCTTTTGGAGGCAAGTTTTAAGACACTAGGGGGTTAGTTCACCCAGAGAGATGCTGGTAATTATATTTGAATTGTCAGTAATTCTAGTTCCATCACCAGAAAGCAAAATGCAAGTAGTAAAAGATGACTCTTTACTTGAAATCTGGGGGGGAAGAAAGAACTTTGCTTCTCTCAAGGTCATCTGGTGTTCAAAGAAAATGTGTCATTGATGATTTAATAATATGTAACATGAGAAATTGCATTAGTATAATTATGTTACATTTTATCATCTTATTTTTTATGTAGAGAACAGATTGCCTTAAATCTGCAAGTATCATATTTGAGTTAAAATTGCATTAACATACCATAAATATATACTTTCTAATCATTTAAATGTTTGCAATCATTGTGTATCTCAGTTAAAATATATGTTCACATTATACTTTAAATTTCTATTTCCTTTGGACATTATTGTATTTTGCAAGAACAGAAAGATTAGTTAAAAATTTTCTGTAGTGATAATGGAAACCATGTTAACATCTGAATCATGTTCAATGTGAAAAAGAGAATTGGGGCCAATTTAACAGTTAGTACCATTTCTTGGCAGAGAATGATAGAGCACTGCTGTAAAAAGGACTGCTTTCTTTTCTTTTTAAATCTGCAAAGTGTTACTAAGTACCATAGTCCCTCGCCTTTGGAAATACCATGGCTTTTTGGGTCACCAGCTGTGTATTATATACCAATGGAGAGTACAACTCATGGCCATTTTTTTGCATTCTTAGTGTTATTCGTGGCTGTTTCTTTACCTCATGAGCTGTATGACACCTTTTATTTAAAGAAGTCCTCATGTTTGTGATCACTGTGCATCAGGTTATCAGGTCCGTGGCTGGCCTTCCAGTTGTTCATCAGTCTGAGCTCATGAAAAGCAGACACAATTGGCAGAGTCATTGTGCTGTTCTGTTAGATTAAGTCATCCTGGTGGTATCCAAAACATTTCTGGTGTAAGAATTATTTTTTTCTGTTTTGAATTAATGAAGCAGAAACACAAACTGTGAACATTGTCTGTAAATAGCCTTTGTTCTTTTATGCAAAATGTCCTTAATGTTAAGGCCTGCAAGAAAATAGTATGTGTTATATTAGTTTTATAATATTAGTGTTCATGCAGAATGATGGCGGGAAAACCAGCTAGGTTTTATTTCCTACTGGTTATTATTGGTTGATGAATTCCTGTGAAGGTTTATGGCATTAGGTTAAATCATATGAAATTGCTATTTGTGTAGACAATTTCATATGACTCAACCTAACAGGAAACAAAGCAGCTTCAGTTCTAGGATACAAGATATAATTCAATTAATTCGCTCTACATCATTGTGAGTCTGCTGCAAATATCTTAAATTAATACATATAACTTAAAAAATTGGAACTGGAAAGGCAAAATTTGTTTTCCTTTTATTCTTACTTTGCTTTTACTCTGTGTCATTCTCTCTTGCTTTCAAGGAAAATACAGACTCTATATATAGAACATCTCCCAATATATGCCATTCTGTAGGTCTTGAGGGGTAAACAAGTAAGAACACAAATATTACTTACTTAGTTGTGGGTTAAAGTCATCTTTCTATTATTCTAACAATAACTTAAACTTGCAGCTCTTCCTTAGTGAATTTTCACGAATTCTCTTCTCTCTAGAGAAAACTATTTCATCACAGAAATATATTAGAGGTATTAAAATGCCTTTCCCCTCTCTCTTCTTCCATATTTCTCCATTTGCAGTTTTATCTGTATGGAAAAGGAGCTCTGGTTGCTTTGGCCAAGACTTTTCAGTAGGAAATACTTCAAAATACAAAGCAAGAGCTATTTTCAAGAAAGATCTTCTAAATTTATATTAGGTAAGTTAAATTTTAGATGTCTTCCTTTACAGCTAAAAGTAAACACATTTGATTTAATTATATTAATCAAAATGTACTTGCGTTCAAGTGTTCTTATATGTCAATACTCCTGGATAGATTTAAATTACATTGACAGAAAACATCCATTTCCTCACATTTTCAAATACCAAGCAAGCAGCAGAACCTGGTCTTTAGCATGGTTGTATTTGAAAAAAATGTAATCCAGCCAAGGCTGATCTTGTTTTTCCTTTATTCTTTAAGCCAGAAGCAATTACTTTTCATTTCAGGATTAAGCGTCTGTAACGTTGCCACTCGTCGCTGAGGCTCCTGGTTTCAGCATGTCTCCTTGGTTCCCAGCCAGCTCTGGGTGTTCAGGTAGCAGCTGTGGCTGGGAGTGTCTCTCCAGCCCACATTCCTTGGCCATGAATTTTGCAGCCCTGTTTATCTGATGAAGACCTCCCAGTAGTGAATTGCTCATGACATTGTCACACAAACCTTAATGAATGATATGGAAAGATACTCAATATTTTTCCTCCCGGAATGCCTACCAATCCTCAGTGTCCCAGCCCCTTCACTCCAGCTGATCACCACAAAGGTTTGGTACTGAGATCCAGTGAGACGTTTGTCCTGCAAAAACCACGTTCTCACTGGATGCCTACAAGTCCTGTCTATGGGACTGTTACCCAAGCCTGTTTAGAGAATTTTCAACAATTACATCTGCCCATTTGCTGAGTCTCACTTCTCTGCACTAATTATTGACTTCAATTTATATTTTTAATGTACAATTGCTATCACCACCTTCAGTGCGTGAAGACCTCTCTTCCTTCTCTTCAAACCCATGACTTTGCTTGGAATAACAGGGATGGCTTTATAGCATGGCTTTCTCATTATTTCATGTGTCTTCATTTTGCTTTCCCAAGTCAGATTGTAAATTCCTTGAGAAAGGAGGCCCTGAAAACTAGAAATACCTATACAGACAGATAGTTTAAAAAAAAAAAAAAAATTGGACAGAAAGACATTTGTTGCTCTAAGAACCCAGAAAATTTGCCTTAACACGTTCAGAAGAGATCTTTGGCTACAATATACAACTCCTCTCCTTTCCCCCGCCTGCCCTCTGCTGGAACTGCTAACGAGCAGTAAGACGGCAAAAGCAGGACATTGTATGGGAAATGTGGAAAAACAGGGGCTAGTCTGACTAGAAGGTGAGTTGAATAACTGTGATTTGTGAGTCCACAATGGGGATCTTTGAAGTCCTTCATGACATGCCTCTGTATGACTAGCAACCTCCTCACAAGACTCTGGTTCACTGTGCACAGAGATATGATTCGGCCTGCCTGCCTGAGATAGACCAAGTGGCCTCGTGTGTTCTTTTCCTCCTCTATGCTTGTTTCATCTGCAGAACCATCTGATGGATGGCAGACAGCTGAACCAGGTACTGCCCCTCCTTCCCAAACACAAATGCCCTCCCCACTCACCATTCCCCAGAGCCTTCACCACCTTCATCTATGAAAGGCATTTACTAGGGTCTAGCAAGACTGCCAATTTGGTAATGCAAAGCAGGAGATAAGTGTGAAACTCTAGACTGGTTTTCTGTTTCAAAGGGCAGCAGGATGTGACAGCTGCTGAGGCAGCCCTTTGCCCTTGGAGAGGAGAAGCAGGAGTGTAATCACTGGATGACCTCTCCCTCCTGCTGTCTCCTGGGTGGTAGGGACAGTCTCTTTCCCAACCCCACTCTTGGTCAGGTGGCTACATATTATGAAAAAGAGGAGGAAAAACATGGTTTGCTTTTAAAATTATTATTAAGAGAGAGTACTCTTTGGGGAAGCAGAATCCATTAGCTGAATTCATTTCAGTATCTATGGTTAATTAAGTTAGGCAGCCTTAATGCAATTTTATTATGTAGCCTTTAAGAGCTGTTCTGGTAAATGCCCATCCTATAAATACTAGCACTACTTTATATGTGTGATATCCTTTTTGGAAGGGTAAATCTGAATTATTATCCAGATATTAATCTGCACACAACCCCATCCAGACAACGCAAAGATGCTTCCTCATATTTTGAACATTGTTCAATACATTTAGAAGGGGGAAAACCCGCTCAGATACGACTTTCTACAATTTTAAGTCAGTGGATAAGTCAGCCTGGTTGCGTCCCAAAACATACTTTTGAACATCAATTTCACCTCACTCCTGACCAAGTAATTGATTTCTACATTTCATTCTGTAAATTAAACACTAGACTTTGAATTACTAGAAGAAATACACAGTTAGCCAATAAACCTTTCTTATAAAATGACAGTATTTTAATTTATTAGATGCATTAGCATGTATTCATGCCTAAGATTTCATCAATCAATTTTCCATTTTAAAAAGCGGCCTCTGGAAGCAACAGTGGAGAGATGCTGAGTTCCAAAAGCAATGTTGTGAAAGGCAGCAGGTCTAGCGTTCCAGGCACATGCTTAACTAAATTCTAGTCAATAACCATGTGGCTCCAAGTATAAACCCACATTTTTTAAAGTATCTGCCTTCTGAACTGACTCTTTTGGAATGTCAAAATTTTAAAAAGAAAATATTTAAATTTCTCTATTTAAGAGGTGTGCTGTGTTTGTTCAATATTGGAGCAACCTCTGATATTATTTTAAAATATTTATTTTGCCACTTTGACAGCTTTCTACGCTGCTGTTGGGTTTTGATTTTGTTTACAGTACTAAATTTCAATAGTTGGCTTTGGATTAAATGCATATTCGTATGTTGTGGTGATTTTATTAATTAGTTGCTTTTGAGAAATCTTTTAAGCCGAAAGTCACTCCAAAATAGAAGCTCTAAGAATTGCTACCATCAAATTAAATTGAAGTCATGTATTCATTTCGTTCAGTCATCAAAAATATATTTAACACACAGGACTTGACTAACTTATCCCTGAGCAAGGTAGGCATAGCACCTGGGGCCCACAATACTTTTAGAGGCCTATAAAAAGTCTTTTAAATCAGAAGAAAAAGATAAAATTTTAGGTCAAAGAAAGTATATATAATATTAACATATTCATTTTCATACCAGCATGATCATAAAATATAATTTTAAATTTTTTTTAATGAAGGAAGGGGACCATGAAGGCAAAAGTTTCCAGGACCCATAAAATGATAATGCAACCCTTCATGACATATACCAAGTTTTATCTATGCTAGATTCTAGGTGTAAGAAGATATGTAGGGCACAGTTTCTGTACCCAAAGCACTCATAGTCTAATGAAGAAAATGGACATAAAACAGGCAGTTCATAATGTGGTTGGTTCCTTTGAAATTGTTTGAAAGAGTAATTACACGCTGAAAAATACAAGGGTTTTACTACAAAATGTCATTTAACGCATAGACTTGGCCTCATGTTTCTTTCAGTTAAACTTATACAAAAATTAGGTTTATATATATATCTTAATGCTACATAGACAGTGTAAGTATATATGTTTGTTCATTTTAAACATTACTGATATTGCCATTCAGATCTGTAAGTCAGAATGTTCATTATTTTATAAGTACTGTCCGTCAAAAGGACCACAAAGGAAATTCCACGTGCTGGTATCAATGGTCCAATGAGGAAAATGAGAAGTGAGATCTAGTTCTCCCTAGCTTAGCAATGCTTACCTATGTCCTTTCAAGTTTTACCAAGATTTCAGAAATGGAACAAAATCCTGGCTGCACTTTCCCTCTTAATAAAATTTCACATATATGTGAGATTCAGCATTTATTTTTTTTCTATTACTGTTTCTAATTCCAATAATTTGGGTAGTCACAACGTTCCCCTAAACCTAAGTCTTCCTTGTTAATATTTGAGTCCATTTTTGCATTTTTTGATTGTCAATTAGAGAATGATTTCTGAACATTTTCTATTTTTAGAGCAATTTTACCTTCATTATCTTATTACACACACAAAAGCTTTTTGAATAAGTAGGACATCATAGGACATTCAAAAGAACACAGACTCAGACAAGCCTGGGTGTGAATCTCAATTCTGCCAATCAAGCTGTATTACTTTGGTCACTTCATTTAACCTCATTTGCATCTCAGCTTCCTTATCCATAAAATGAGGATCATTATGCATGTCTCATAAAGTTGCCATAAGAATTAGGATAATGTATGTTAAGTGTTAGACCAGCACCTGAAATTTAGTAGAAGCTAAATAAGTAGCTGCTATTATTATTTGCCATATTTTATAAATTAGGAAACTGAAACATAGACATATTCCTCATGCCAGAATAGGAGGTTAGGGCACCTAGTTATTACAGGCAAACTGCAGACTTTGTTTTGAACAAGGCTTATTGAAAATGAGAGTATACACTACAAAGTACAGAAGAAAAAGATACAGAAAAAACACTGACATCAAACCAACCAGATAACCAATATATATTTATTGGGCACCTTGTAAGTAGAAGACATTCTGTGTACAAGTTGGGCTACTTTGCAAATGACAGAATTCCAACTTGATCACGCAAAAAAGAGAATTTGCTGACTGATGTCACCCAAACACAGAATGTGGACAGCTGGTCCTATGGATGTCTGGACTCAGTGGCAAGTACACTTTTAGGGCTTATACTCTCTATTTCTCATGTATGCTTCCAGTTCTCTTTGCAGATGAGCTTTCTCCATGCCATGGGGAACATGAATCCTAGCAACTATGATCTCTCATCTCATCCTAACTAAGCAGTTCTACCAGCAAAGAAAGAGAATTTCTTTTTCTTTGTCTGCAGTTTGAAAACAATCCTAAGAATCACTTGCATTGAACCAATTTAGGTCACATACTCTTCCCTAAGCCAATCACCAAGCCAGGAAGATGGGGTAATATAATTGGTCCAATTAAGAGTACATGACATGTTAGGAACTTGAGACCAGTGTGGCCAACATAGGGAAATCTCATCTCTACAGAAATACAAAAAAACTAGCTGGGCATGATGGCACACACCTGTAGTCCCAGCTACTTGGGAGGCTGAGGTGGGAGGATCACTTGTG